CCCCAAAACCCCAAAACCCCAAAACCCCAAAACCCCGAAGCTTTAGAAATATGTTGCAACAAAGGAAATATAATTGATATGCCCAATGCAGCCTTGGGCTGTACTAAAAGCAATAGGATGTCTTCTAGCAAAGGAGAAGCCTACCTGACGATTTATACACAGAGTTTCCTATCTTTGACTCTTATGGTAGTGATGTCATAGGAAGAAATTGCTAGTTTATTAATAAAATCTTAAATTTACAAAGTGCTCATCAAAGTTTTCTAAAGATATGATTTCGACTAGTTTAAACGTCAAAAACCTGTCTCAAATAGTTGGTGGATGGAATAATAAACAGTAATAATCATTGAATAAAATTAAGCGGATTTTCATGAATAATGTATCTTATGAATTAAGGAAGCGGCACCATATCTTAAAATAAGGACAAGGATCTTCTTCTCATTAAATGTATGAGAGACCCCTAATAAATTTCCCAACTTTGCTTCTAATGTAAGTAATGAATAGAGATAATTGAATAGTCACTGAGATAGCTCTCGAAACCATTCTAGATTAAATCTCCATCTCTGAATTGATGAATCCCACAGAATAATCTTATAAAAATTAAGGCTGCTAATAAAGGCTTCATTAACCAAAATGGTATAAATAAATCTTTTTCTGCTATAAATTTCTCTTAAAGAACAAAAAGTTATCCAAAATATTTAATTCAATTAAAAATCATCTATTTTCCTCATTATTAGAAATTCTCTTGAGTCAAATTTAAGGCTCATTAATCAGGAATAAATCAGTGGGCTAAGAAAATGCAAGGGAGGCTAATAGATTTGTATGTGTAATATCTGTTCCTATTTTCTGTGTATATCTAAGAAACATCGTCCGTCTCGGGGAGAATTACTAGCATTAGGTATTTTTGATTAACTAAATTTAAGAGCTTAAGGTTCACATTTATTGTCTCCCAAGATTATACTTCAGATGGGTTGTCAGGTGATTCAGTTGGATTATTTGTGACCTCATTAGGACTCTCAGTTGGCTCATCTGACACAATAGCATCCTTATCCACGGGTAAAACTTTTCGATGAGTCATTATTTCTGCTGCCTCTTTGAACAAGTCCTCTAAGATAAGTTCTGCCATGTCTATTTTTACATGAGTTTCTTCGAATTCGTAGTCTGTCCAGATTGGTTCTGTCTCTTCAATTTCATTTGCAAGGATGACCGCTAGTCTTTCCTCCCAAGAATTAGGACTGGGATTATCAGCATCTTGGTCTCCGATCCAGTCTAGGACTTTCTTCTCGATCTTAGTTGTTATCTGAGGAATCTCTGTTATATCCCCATTTTTGTATGTAAGAGTCCTGCTTTGTTTACTCCAGGGGAGTGGAGGACCCTTCAGTCCATACGGCCTAAATCCATCAAGAGCTTCATTGACAGCATCAAAGATAGCTTTATTATGGATATTTTCCCATTCACATTTGAGGTTGAATAGCTTAGTATCAAGCTCTTCATCCTTTGTGAAGGAGGAAAGTGATTCACTGTCGTCATCCTTATTATCGGAATTCTCCTCATTAGATTTTGGAGTTTCTTTTTCTTTAGTTTCTTCCATCTTATTTTCTTCTGGAATTTCTTCTTGTGGGGACTTTTCTTTCGGTATCTCTTTTTCTTCTTTGTCCTTATTTTTGAGTTTCTTTTGAGCATCGTGTTCAGCTCTAGCCTTAGCTTTCTCAGTTTCTAAGGCTTCTTCTTCAACTTTCCTTCTTCCACGCTCGATGTCTAGGTAAATATCTACTGGAAGAACGGACTGTTGGAATGGCAATTGCTCATCTTCTTCCAGTTCATAGAATGTATTCTGCAGATGCATTAAGATCTCAAGGGGATTTCTCTGTAATGGGCTGCTCAGATTTCCAATTAAATCAAGCTCTCTTCCCTTCATTTTCTCAAAAAGGATATTTACATAGCTCTTAATGGTAGTCTTATCTGTCTTGATAGCCATTTTGTTCTGAGGGAAGTCATCTTCTTCGTTGCCTTCCTTTTGCTCATTCTCAGGGGGTTCTGACATATTAGATTTTGCAGACTCTTGAGACTTTTTCTCAAATTCTAAGATCTCTTTTTCTGTGCGCTCTCTACATCTACTCACGTTTACTCTTTGAGGGAAGACATTAGACATTAGTTCCATTTTTAGGTAAAACAAGAGCTGCTCTGCTATCATTTCTGATTTTTCTATATTAGATTTAGGCCCTGGGATTAAATTATCAGTTGTCCTGGAAGCTCCCTTAGCTCTGGGCTCTACAGTCCCACCAGTAAGATCAACTCAAGCAATATTAGGAATGGAAATTGGGTTTGAAGGAGATTTCTCTGGATCTTTTATATTTATTGTATCAGTTGAGGCAATATCAGATTCATTTTTGCTCTCTTTGTCATCCCTTTTCTCATTATCTTCAACTATAGGTGATGAATAAAGATACTTTCTTCCTTTTTCTCATCTCTTGGAGGAAGTAGTACGGTGGTAGGATTATCCTCGCCTCCTGAAACTGTAGTCTGAGGGATATTATCAGGATCACTGTCTACTTCTGGCTCAGGTTTATTCTGTTTCTTTTCTTCCACTCCAAATGGAGATTCCTGGTTATCAATATTGTTGCTTAGAGTATCTTCCCCTTGGTCAGAGATAGGAATATTTGACCTTGATGAGGTTATCAAGACCTCTTTTTCCTGAGAGCTTGAAGATGATGAAGATTTAATATCCTCTTTTTTACTATTTTCATCAATTTTTGGATCTTCAGCCTTTTGAAAAATCTGTTCTTCCTCATCAGAACCCTTTTCTATCTCAACAGTATTTTGATCTATCACATTAGGAGTTTTGTCAGATATATTTGGAAATATTTCCGCAGATTTTTGATCTTCAGATTTGCCATCAAAATCCATCTTTTCTTGTACCTGTTTCTCCCCTTCTTGTAGATCTTGATTTTGCTCCTTTTGGTTGCTTTCAGTCTCAAAATGATCAAAATCTTCTATTTTCTTCTTATAAGATTCTTCGTCTTGGGAGGGATAGCCCACAAGCTCATCTTTGCCTTCTTTAGGCTGCCTACTTTTGTCAATGTTCTCCTTTGTCTCTTCCAAGTTTTCTTTGAGCTGTTTTTCTTCTTCAGCTTTCAAGGCAGTCTCGTATTCGATTGATTTTACTTTGTAGTTAAACAGGTTCTCACTTTTCCGACCGATTTTTGTATCATCTTCAATGCTTAGAGGTGTTCTCATATCGCTCGGAGGTACAATAGGTCCTTTAGATGAGATAGATTGGTCGTGAGGATTTATAATGTCTATATTCTTGGCTCGATGAGTCAGACTATCACCGTTAGGATCGCTTATATGACTGACCGTCTTGTTATTACTCATATGTTGATTTATTGACCTTGACCCACTCGAATTTAAACTATATCCTTTTTGAATATGGTTCCTTCCTGTTGAAGGTAGGTGCTGAGATCCTCCTCTCACATGTCCTTCGAGAATACTTGAATTCGCAATACTATCAGAATCTGCGTTGGGGAAATTAATTACTTGGCTTGGTACTTTCCCATCTTTTATTCTCATTAGCTCCTTAAAGTATCCACAGATATGAAGATAATACTTCTTCTTAGTATGTACCTTCTTGGTAGCTTTTTCTTGCCATTCTTGTATTTTCTTCATCTTCTCTGTGTAATGGAGGTCGTTGATCTTGTTTAGCTTGTATCTCTCATCATAATTTCTCTTATTTCTTATCAGCTTTCTGCTGGATTTCGGCAAGATCTGACTTGCAATCCTCCTTAATTTTCTTCTTTATAAGAGTCTGGTACTTTTCAAATCCTTCAATGTCATTCATAGGTGAGTTATGAGTTAAAAGCTCAGAGAGAGAACTCTTTGAAATCGGTGTGTTCTCTCTAATAGGAAGCTCTTTCTTCCCAGTAGGAGGCTTAGTTGCTATCTTCCTCGGATTTGGTTTTTCTGGCTTAATTAAAACGGTCTTTTCAACTCTCTCCTTCAACTTCTTTGGAGTTTTAGGAAGCTTAGCAGGTGCCTTTATATTCTTGCCTTTCTTAATATTTGCTGTATTTGGCCTCTTCTTTAGAGATAATGAGAAACTCTTTTTATTACTCTTCCTTATTTCATTATTCTTGCTGTCTTCAAAAGATTTATTCAACAGTGAGTTAATGGAGGCATATGGCTTCCTTTTGGGAGAACTACAATCCTAAAACTTGATATGCCAATAACCTTACCTTGTTTAGTGATCTCTTTGGAATTTTCTTCGGGATCTTAGCTTCTTCTCGCTCTAACACTTAGTTGAAAAATACCTTGTTGCCTGAGCCTTTCAGCTTCCTCTTCGGATTTTTCCAATTTCATCATTTTAATCAAGTCTGCTTGGCTGGTAGCTCTCTCAAAAGTATTTGAGGAGCATGAGGAAAATTTCATTGTGTGTAGTTTAGCCTCCTTTCTGACTTTCTTAATATGATTAAACACCTTAAATCCCTCCATGTATTTCTGTATTATTATAATCTTAAGTTCCTTGTCTTCTTTAAGGTACTCCTGGTTCAGCCGATGGATCTGGATTTCAGGATCTAATGCTACATTCGTTAACAGTTGATAAACATACCTTGTTGGGAGCTAGGGCTCCTCCAAGGGGTATCTTTCCCTCGGATAGGGGCGTTCCGGTCATCAATCTCCGTAGAAGGACTTAAGCTAGTCTTACGATTATTTTTACTCGAGGAATTAGTCTTTTTATTTCCACTTTTAGCAATCCTGACTGTTTTCTTCTTTAATTTCTTTGAGTGTCTTTTGGAAGAGCTCGGAGACAAAAGCTTCTTCTTAGATAAACTCTTTACATCAGGGTCAAGCTTCTTGTCTAACTGTTTAGCAGTCCGAGGGCGATGTTTTGGCTGAGTCAGCTTAGGATTAAGACCATGCTTCTGTATTCCTCCTGATAAAGGCCTTGTAATAGATGTCTTCTTTCTTTTAATAATTGATTTAAAATTCTTCCGTGAGTCATTCGAGCTATTTCTCGACCCTTTTCTCTCTTCAACAGAATTTCTGTGATGCTTACTCCTTGAACTCTTTTTCGTCTTAATTTTAGGTTTCTTTAGCTTATTTCCTAACACTTTGGTAGATTTCTTAAATTGAGAGGTGTCATAGATTGGTTCCAATGTCTCCTTCTCTAAACTGGTATCTCTTTCATTGTTTGAAGGAGATATTGACTTCCTTTCTTCTTTTGGATCTGGAAATTCCAAAGTATTAGGAAATTCATCTGCACCCTGATGTTTATTAAAATCGTTTATTTTCTCATGTTGGGACGTGTCAGCTAGGTCAGTTTTTGTCTTAGATGCTGAAAATAAGATAATTCCTGTCTTTTTGTCTGACTCATCCTTGTTCTCAATTAGCTCCTCTTCATCCCTTTTTAATTTCATCTTAGAATCCTGATCCTTGTAATCAATCAGCCTGATATGCGGCTGTGAACCTCACTTGGGGATTCTTTTCTCTAACTTAGCAAGGACTTTCTCTTTCCTTGTGGAAGATTTGCTCTTTCTTCTTCTGGACATTTTCAGGTTGGCTTTCCTGACCTTCTCATTAAATTTTTCAATAGTCTTAACACTTGCTCTAGGTTCCTATAATATTAGAGGAAGGCCTTACCCTATCATTGGTAGAGATCAGGCTTAGTCTGGTGCTCCTTGATGGGCTAAAGACTTGGCCACTTATTTTATTTTATCCTAGAGTAAGACTTATTACTCTTGTTGGAAGTCTATTATGATTATATAGGTAAACTACCTTGAGATTGGTATCATGCTTGGTCTCTGTCTCAATAGTCTGCATTATTTCTTCACAACACCGCTCCTATACCATTGGTTAGAGAATAGTGTAACTTGGAAACTTACAATATCAATAGTTTTAAGCTTAGTCGCCATTCTTTCCGATGTATAGTAATTATGTTCAGGGGATCCGGGCACTTTTCGGCTAGAATTAGCTCCTCTTTCTATAAATAACCCATTTTAATTTACTTTTATGTGACTCTGATCGTAGGATTCTCTTGTTGAATATATCATCTATGCGTGGGTTAGGATTTCTTGATCAAATAGTCAACATGTATTAGAAATCCCTTATTTTTTAATCAGGCATATATTCCAGCACTTTTTGGTAAAATAAAATATTTCAGAATTAAAGGTAAGCCTTATTAACTAGCACACTCGGTTTAAATCTACAAAGCAAGTTATTCAACAATTTATCTGATATATTTGTGAAGTGAGAAGGTCATAGCTAGAAAATCAAGTCAGGTTGGGAGCGTACCATCAAGACCACGGATGCCAGTTGAGACCTCCTCAGTAAGCATCTTCATTATATCCCTATCACTAGGATTATGTGTATTTGGAGATTCTAAATCTGCTTTCTTTTGAGCAATAATTTTATCTAAAATATTATTTTTCATCAAGAAGGCCATTCTTTTGAGCTCTCTGACCTGCATCCTGGAGCAGGCGAAGATGGTTTTCTATATTTTCCTTCTCCTTGTTCTTTTTCTTCTGCTTCTTCCTCTTCTTCTGTTTTGGAGAGAGGATCTTCACAACTGGTTCAGAGATAGATTTCTTGTTCATATTTGTCAAAGTTCAAATTTATTATATTAGCTGGGGTTTTGGGGTTTTGGGGTTTTGGGGTTTTGGGGTTTTGGGG